TTATCTACAAGTATCTACACACTTTTACACATATCTCTATTATTCTAGAATTCTCCACAAAACACTAGATTACTCCAGAGAACTCTAGAATATTCACGTGCCATGCAGTCGTTATGCAGCGTCCTACTCAACGCGTGCATGTCATCTGCTTGGCGTAACCTCCAAAGGCAAGATGTGACATCCTCCCCCACCCAATTCCGTGACGCCCTCATCACGGTTTCTTTAGATGCCCAGCCTCTCACAGGTCATCAACACCTGTGCAAATGTCCTTGGCCCACACATGGGCACACCCTTGGGGAGGTGAGAGGTTCTCACGAGCTCCATCGTGTTGACTGCCACTTCTGGACTCTTTTCCCTGCCCACGAGCAGCACCATGCATGCGGCTTTACCTTCTTTGCCTCCAAGTATCATCAACGCACCAAGGCATGGTAATGGCGTTCCTGTCCATGAACTCCAGCCCCAGCACCATGTCGTAGTCGTCCATATCGGCAACTTGGAAGTCGGCCTTGCCTTTCCATCCCTGCATGCATAGATCCACCCCTTGCACATTCTACTCATGTGTGCTCCTCGGAGTTAACGACCTTTATCCAGCCCTCAGTCTTGCGCATCTCCAGGCCAGGTCTCTGGACCTCCTGCGGGGTGATGAAGTTGTGTGTGGCGCCTGTGTCCACCAACGCCTGCACAGCCTTCCCACCAACCTGCGCATTCACATAGCGCACCCCAACTACCTTCTTCGCCTTGCCTTTCTTCTTGGTGTCATGTGCCATGCTACTCAGCATCTACATGCCCCCATGCACATGTCTTCGTCGCTGCCCGCATCGTCAATCTTACCTTTCCCTTACTGTTCACAAGGGCACTTGTGACCTTCTTCTTAGGCAGCCTCTCTACATGTGCAGCCCATCACACAAGTAGCACTTCAACTCTCCCTTGCCCTTGTCGCGGCGCTAACCTTTGCCACTTGACTTGGAACATCCTCCATAGTCCTTGCCCTTGTCGCGTGGGTCTCTCCTAGTTGTTGTGCTCATCATCACTAGACTTTTCGACATGTTTCCTTTCTTGAAGCGTCGGTCTCCCCCACCTTTGTTGTGGTCCCTCCTGGGAGACGTGGCCCTCCTATCATCACGCCTAAAGTCTTCAAGGTGTTCCGTTATAGCCATGGCGATGCCAAGTCTCTAGGCTCCCTCCTCTTAAACTCTGTGGCCACCCAAGATTGCAACCCATCTATAAACAAGCACACGCGCTACCACTCCAACATCTCTAGGATCTCGAGCATCAAATTGGTGTAATCCTTCACGTACTCCCTAATGTTGCCCTTCTGCTTCAAGCACCTTATCAATTTTTTTTTATTTTTTTTATTTTTTTTTATAAGTAAAATTGCATTAGAAAGCAGTCAAAAGGGGAACAAGTCCCAAGAGCTGTACAAAAACTGAAATAAAAAAATAAAAAAAGGGAGTTCTATGGACCCAAAGAACCCAAAAAGTCCACGATTTCACCTAAAGCACCTTAGGTTGATCATGGCGAGGTCCTCAAAACACTTGGGGTAGAACTGCCTCTTGAACTCTTCCAATGTGTCAACAGCTCGCGCGCCCCTGCCATCCCCGATGTACATGGCATCGAAGTACCACTCCATGTGCAAGAAGAAGTTGTTTTGTGAGCATTCCTTGCCCATCATACTCCTTGGGCTACGACGCCTTCTTCTTCCTTGGCCTCACCAAGACCTCGCGCGCCTGCGATAACTCCTTACACTCGGCAATCTCCACGCGCAAGTAGTCTACCCTGCCTTGCAAGTCCCTTTCCTTCTTTTGCGCCTTGATGGCCATGTTGTCAATCTACTCGTAGAGTTGTGCGATTTTTCTCTCAAGCCTTGACAACTTGGTCTATGTATAGACCACGTGTGTGGCAAGCTACTCCTCTAAGCTCTAGTGCACGACGTGGACTTGACGGTCTCCTGCGCTAGCAATGTCTACTCCACCAAAGCTTCCTTTACATTCCCTTGGGCAGAACCTCACTCTGATGCCAACTATCACGGGCCTAGAGTTTCAGTTACTCTAGCCAAGACGTTGCTTATACTCACACAAGTACTTGGTTAGCCTAACTCCCGTGCACACCTTAGCAGACACCCTCCCACTCGTGCCCTCGCTAGTGTTATAGTGGCCCTCGTCCTCTCTTCACTTGGCTTGCACACTCATACACACTTGGGCACAATTTGATTGGCAAGGAAAGAACAATTCTATTATTTCAAAAAAATGCTTTGTACAAGGCTAGCACTCAAGATCTCTTACAAGTCTCACAACTCACTCCAGGACTTAATCGCTACAAATGAAGTCATACCTCCTAATGGATGGCTAGGATGCGTTTTATTCTACGGTGGAATTCGGTTCTCAAGATGAGGGGTTACCTTTTCCTTGGAAGGCTATTTGGCGCTCCAAAGCCACTTTAAAGGTGGCTTTCCTTGGGTGAACAACTTTACGGAGGATTTTTTTTTTTTTTTTTTTTGACAAGTAAGATTATAAGTAGGATTATAACGATTGTTAACCTCTGGAGAAGGTGCCAATTGATTGTGAACTGGTGTTGCATGTGTAAGAAGGATGAGGAGTCCGTTAACCATCTATAAGAAGGATGAGGAGTCAGTTAACCATCTATAAGAAGGATGAGGAGTCAGTTAACCATCTACTCTTGCATTACCCGGTGATGCTTGGATGGTTGCTCCTCTTTGCTTCTAGTGGGGTATTTGGTAGATGAGCTTTGGATGGGGAGGAGACTCCTATGTGGACATTCAAATTCTCTATTCTTATTTTGTTAGTTTATATGATAAATGGTCGAAATTGTAAATTTGTAAAGGATATGAAGATTTTTGTGGATAAATTGAGGTATAGCAGATTGTTTTGGCTACGAGTTTTGTATTTGGAATGCACACCATGTTTGAGCACTTTTCTACGATATGTTACTAATAAAAATTAAAAGAAAGAAAAGCATTAGCACTTCAATAATGGATAAGAAATGTAACTTCAACTAATATCTTTTTTTTTTTTTTTGGATAAGTTAAGTTTCAATAAAAATAAAAAGCATTCAAAAGGGGAACGCGTCCCAAATACAAACAAGCTCTAAGGCGCCAAAGAAGCCAGAAAATCAATCAATTCCCCAGAGGAGCCACAATATCTGCCCAATCCCCAAAAAACAAGAGAAGAAAGAATATTATGTTTAATAATTGCAGTCGATGATCCCTTTCGTCCAAAAGCTCTACAATTGCGTTCCTTTCATAAACACACCACCATAGACACAAGGGCACCATCCTCCAATGCCGTCTAATATGGGAACCTACAGCCACCCCACTCCATGCCTCAATCAACTCTCTCGTAGATCTAGGCATGACCCACATAACACCGAAAAAACCCAATAAAAGATTCCAACAATGCATGGCCACTGAATAGTGTAAGAGGAGATGATCCACCGACTCCCCATGATGCTTACACATGAAACACCGATTAACAATGATAAACTTCCTCCGCCTCAAATTATCAAGCGTTAAAATCTTACCCCACACTGCGGTCCACGTAAAAAATGCCACTCTAGGTGGCACTTTGGGTCTCCACACCGCCTTCCACAAAAACCTCCCAACTGAAACAGAAAGGCAACCGAAAAAAGATCTCACAGAAAAGGTGCCCCGAGATGAGTGAATCCAAACCAAGGCATCCCTTCCTTCGCCCCTCATCTCCTGCCAGTACAAGAGCTCCAAGAAGCTGTACACATCAGCCATCTCCCAATCCTAAACATATCTGCGAAAACGAACATCCCAAGTTGTCCTCGCGCTATCAAGCCGATAACAGTCAGCCACCGAAGCATGTCTATTCTCAGCAATCCAAAACAATCTCGTAAATAAGCAAGCCAAAGAGCGCTCACCACACCAACAATCCTCCCAAAAGCTAATCTCCCTTCCATCCTGAACTCTGAATCTAATATACTTGGAAAACTCATTCCACCCCTTCCGAATAGATTTCTAAACCCCCACCCCTCCAGAAGTCGAGACCAAACACGAAATCCACCCCCCAGTCTCCTCCCCAAACCGACCAACCAGGACTCTCCTCCATAATCTATGCCGCTCCAGACCAAACCTCCACAACCACTTCCCTAGCAAGGCCCTGTTGAAAGGCCCAATTCTCCTAATTCCTAATCCCCCATACTAAATAGGTCTACACACCTGCTCCCACCTAACAAGATGAAACTTGAACTCCTCCCCAGAACCTCCCCACAAAAAGTTCCTCTGAAGTCGCTCAATTGAAGCAGCAACAGAGGACGAAATCTGAAACAGGGAAAGAAAATAAGTACGAATATTCGACAGAGTACTTTTCAACAAAGTGATCCTCCCACCTTTCGAAAGATGCTGCTTCTTCCACCCTACAAGCCTCCTCTCCACCTTTTCAATCACTAGATCCCAAACCCCTACGGTCCTAGAAGAAACCCCCAATGGCATACCCAAATAAGAAATCAGAAAGGAACATACCCCACAACCAAGAACCGAAGCCAACCTCTCCATATCTGGCACCTCTCCCACCGATATCAAGGCACTCTTCCCCACATTAACTTTCAAACCCGAAACTGCTTGCAAACATATCAACACCGCTCTCAAATAACGCAGTTGGGACTCCTCTGCGTCATAGAAGACTAAAGTGTCATCCCCAAACAACAACTAATTTCATGCTCTTTTCATGAATATGACTTGAGATCCGTTCCCAGTCCAGGTTTGGTCATAAACAATTACGAATCCAAGTACAAATGATTTTTTATGCAAAAAAAAAAAAAAAAAAAAAAAAAGAGAATATTATTATGCAACAACTATAGATTGAACATACCAAATCTCCGAACAAATAGTATTTATGTTTTATGTATTCATTAATCAACAACTATAGATTGAAAATGCCAAACCTCCGAACAAATAATATCTAAAATTATCATTAGAATGAAAATTAATGAAAAATGAGGACACGTGCATTAAAACACACCTGTAATACCTCTGCCAATTTCATGACAAAGTCTATTAGGATAAAAACCATGATTTATAACAGTGGTTACTTCACGACCTGCATCAGTACAACTCGTAAACCATCGCCGCATGTCACAAAAGTTCCTCATCATCATTTGCCTCTAACAAAACAAAAATTTAGTGAGCCAATTTTGACAAATGAAGATTAATTTTCATTTAAATTTGATCTCCTAAAGTGAAGAACATAGTAAAGGGCAATCTTATTCAAGCCAAATAATCACATTGATCAAATTGGGCATGCTATTACTTTTTCTTTTCTTTTCTTTTTTAATAAGCTTGGGAATATCATCGTTATGCTTCCCTTTATCCCATATAAATGGAATTGGACATATCCATTCTCTTATTTCATTCTTTACTATTGAAATCTATATCTCCCATTAAATTTAATTTTTCAATGAAGTCTAATTATTCCATCCCATATTGGTTAGCCTATTTTCCTTTTATTTCTCTTGAAACTATTCTTTTACTTAACGGTGCATCCACGGGTCTATGTCAGCCTGCCTTTCATTTTATCAATAACAATAGTCACTCTTCATTTATGTCATAGTTGTTAAAGGCTCAAAGCGCACATGGCGAGGCGCGCGCCAGACTGAAGCAAGGCGCACGTTGAAAAAAAAAAAAAAAAAAAAAAACAAAACCCACCTAATAAAGTATTAAAGATGCAATAATATATATAAAGATGTAAAAGGCAACTAAATGACAAAGATGGTGTACTCTATGGTCTATACACTCACATATCAAGATAAAGATGGATACAGGCTACTGGCAGGAGATGTATAACAACATACAGTTATATACACACTTGCAGATAAAAAGTATTCTAGGGGTGAATAAGAAATGTGTGGGTAAATTCAATGGGGTTTATTGCCAATTAGAATAAGAGGAGCAAGTTGTCAAAACTTGATATTTAGGATTTTTTATTTTCTTTATAGGATTTTTCCCTTTTTTAATATTAATAATTGAAAACTGCATTTTTATATATAATGCCAAAAGTTTGTATTAATTTTTTTTTTTTTTCTCAGAACAGAATATATATATATATATATAAATAAAATTTTCCCTCACTAGTCACCACAAAATAGATGAATAACACTAATATGCAAACAACAATTTTTGTAATACAGCAACAAGAGAAAATGAAATTGCATAACATCTACAAAATTGGATATAAATAAACACCACATATGAAAACAGAAAATTGTAAACATCACATTTGAAAACTACAAACTAAGAATAGAAAACCTGTAAAGATAAAAAATATATATATAAATAAACAATCAAACATTATAATTACTATTTTGAAGAGTTATAATATCTAAAACGAAAATAAGGAAAACATCTTCCTCTGTAATAGCAAAGAGAAATAAGGAAAATAAAATAAAATAAAATAAAAGTTAGTAGAACTATTACTTTCTTTATTAGTTGAGATTTAATAATGGAAAAAAAAAAAAATAGTTAGGATATAATAGGTATAAAAAAGAACAGAATTCTTTTAAACCACAAAAAAACATATATAAATAAAATAAAATAAAATAAAATAAAATAAAAAAAGAAGAGAAGAGAGAGCCGAGAGAAGAAGAATAGAAAAAAATAAAAAATAAAAATAAAAGAAGAGCCTAGAGTCTTAGACTCGGCTCAAAGAAAAATAAAAAAAATAAAAATAAAAATAAAAATAAATAAAAGGAGCAAGAGACTAGACTCGAGAGAGAGAGAGAGCCGAGAGAAGAAGAACTGAAGAAAAGAAGAAGAAGAAAAGAAAAAGAAAAGAGAAAGAGAAAAATAAAATAAAATAAAATAAAAAATAAAAAATAACCGAGAAGAGAAGAAGAAACAAGAAGGAGAGAAGAAGTAGAGAAGAAGAAGCAAGAAGCAAGAACTTACCGGCAAGGACGCAGATCCGGCAAATCCGAGCTTCGACGCTTCGCAGATCTCGACGTCTCGTACTTCTCTAGTTCTCTGTCTCTTCTTTCCTTTTACTTTTTGCTCTTTTTTTTCTTTTCTTTTTTGCTTTGTAACTTGCTGCTTAAATGTATAAGTTTTGTAATAAACAAATAAAAACTAAAAATAAACAAATAATAAACTCAAAATAAACAAATAATAACAAAATAATAGTAAAAAAAAAACAATTTTTCATACAGGTGCGCCTGTAGTACTGCGCCTTTTCCTCAAAGGCGCTCGCCTAGCTAACGTGCCTCGCCTTTCAAGGCGCCAAGGTGGCACCTCCGGCGCCTTTAACAACTATGATTTATGTCACACGTTAATTATTAACCATATTAATTCTAATTACTCATAAGTCATATCATCTACAAAAGGGCATTTTATACATCTCTTTCAATACCTGACAAGCCAGCACCCTTAGTTGGCACCTTCCTCTTAATTATTAGACCCCAAATTACGTAATTATATATAGAGAGAGTGACCTGGTCCAAACTAGACCGTATGGTTCAGTCCGATTTTGTTACGATCAATTGTTGTATTTAGGGATGCAAAAAAAAAAAACAATGGACCGGTGAACAGGTATGAACCGTATGGTTTGGTCCGATTATGCTATGAGTCGGTTTGTTCCGATTTTGTTACGATTCGATCCAAACCCGAAGGTTTGCTGGTGAGTGCCATAGACTTTGAAGGAGGGTTATTTCAAGTTGTTTCGGAGAGGAGAGAGGCAATAGGTGCTCCCTCGCAGTTAGGACCCAGGTGGAGTCGGTGTTTGAAAATTTATTCGAAAGGGTTGTGATGAATTTTCCAAACATATCAGATTCTAAGTTGCACCTACACTCAATTTTGGGAGGACCTTTGGTGTGGTGATCATACTTTGGCTTGTGCCTTTCCTAGGCTTTTCAGAGTATCACTAATGATGGGCATGCCTGATTGCCAATTGTTATTGGGTTGATAGCGAGAGGTTAATTTGGGATGGATGCTTCTCAAGGTTTTACCAAGAGAGGGAGGTGAACGATGCCGTTGATTTTTAGGGGCTTTTGTATTGTCCAGTGATTGATGGTGGAGGCCCGGATTCTCTCATTTGGGTGCCTTCCGCTCAGGGTAGGTTTGATGTGTACTCTCTATTTAGATGCCTCTCGGTCTTTCCCAGGTCTGCTTTCCATGGAAGGCAGTTTGGCATTCTAAGGTTCTGCTCAAGGTAGCCTTTTTTGTCTGGACGATAGTGTGGGACAAGATTTTGACACAACTAAGAAGAAGAAGAAGACATGTCACTATTAACTTCTTGTATGTGTAAGAAGGATGGAGAGTGAGTTGACCATCTCCTTTTGCACTGCCATGTGTCCTATGATTGTTGGGTTCTTCTCTGTGGCTTCTTTGGTGATCAGTGAGTAATGCCTCGGTCTTTAAGAGGATTGATGGAGGTTTGGATAGGGTGCTTTGTGGGATCCCAAGCTTGCGACTATTAGAAATGACATTGACAGTGTTCGGTTGGAGGTGTTAGAGGATGTTGTTGCCCTAGATACAGAACTGCGAGCGGTGATGTCAGACTTTCTTCACCAGTTCCAGGGTGCTCATCCATCATCCTCTGCACCATGATCTCTTTATTTTTCTCTCTCTTTCTCTATCCTTTACATAGACTATTTGACAGATACATTTATTCTTTTATTGGCCAGTCTGTTGGCCTTACATTTGATCTATACTATTTTTGACTTGCTTAAATTGCTCTGTGCCACTTGGATATTTTTTATTCTATAAATTTTGTGATAGTTTGTTATTCTTTTATTGGCCAGTTTGTTGGCCTTACATTTGATCTATACTATTTTTGACTTGCTACTATTGCTCTTTGCCACTTGGATATTTTTTATTCTATATATTTTGTGACAATTTATTAGGTAGACAGGTATTTTGCTCGCTTGAGAGGATTTATCTCTTACTTCACTTTTATATCTAAGGCTCTCTTTCTCTCTCTCTCTCTCTCTGTGTTCTTTACTTCACTTGGTTGCACATTGCACAATTTTCATGTCCTTATCCAAATTTATAATCTTGATGACGCATATGCTAGTATGATCTTTTCAAGACAATTTTTGAATCCAAGTTTGGGGGTGCTCTACCACCTCTTTGGATCATTGCGATCCCGATTCTCCTTGGCCATTTCTACACTGGTATACTCTTTCCATCTTTTCCATTGTTCTCATTGCACATAAAGGACAACGTGTAGTTTAAGTTTGGGGTAAGCTGACATTATTGCATTGTATTACATGATTAAGAGTTAAAAACTATTTCGGCTATTATTTTGATCTTTTGGAGTATAGATACCATCTCATTGCAAGTTTTGAGAGTCTAATACTTCCTATATGCTTTTGGATGTCATTTAGGAGTAAAATATTAAATTTTTTATATCATGCTTGTTTTTGTGGTCCACATAATCTTGCTTATTGAACATGCATTGAGGATTGATTCTAGAGTATTACATTTGCACAGGTGCACACTAGCATGAGAATTGTGGGGTGCATGCTTAGATGATCAATGTTTAAGTTGTATCCCAATTGAGATGGAAATTTTGAGAAGTCATCATTCTTGATATAATGACCTTGCATGTTAAATAATGACCTTTTTTGCTAAGTAACCAGGACTATTGCCTCATTAAGCATTAAACTCTCGCGTCAAAAGGCGAAGGTCCCAAATAATGTAATAAGTACTCTCACAAAAAGAGGTGAAGAATTGGAAAATAAGAAGTGAGAGTTGTTTTGATTTATAGCCTAGTTGACTTGAGCTATTAAGTCCTAAGGGGCATCTTAATGCTTAATGCCCTAAAACAATCCAGTTTGGGAGCCATTGACCCAATGCTCGTTACACTAGTTTTCTAGAGAGCTTAAGAGATCTTTACATTGCACCATACTTTCATCTTCGATTCTAAAAATAAATAAATAAATAAAATAAAAATAAATATATAAACATATATATAATATATAATAAAGGGTTCATTTATGGTCTTGATGATTGATATTTGAGATGTGTGCTAGTTTGAGGCCGGATTGTGATTTTCACATTGGCTGTGCTAAGATAGCAACATATTTGGATGTCGGTTCCCTCAAAGAGTATGCTATAATTGATTTTGATAGCCATGGTTGACTTGTTTGATATGTAGGGACCATATTTTCTTGTATGACATTTAAACATTGAGAAAAGCTTAGAAATTGCTAAAAATTGCATACTCAGATAGTCTTCTCTTGACACTCGTGGAAATAGGTTTTAATGTTTCATTACCGATGATTAACCTTGGATGTTTGTGGGTATCATTTCTGAAAACCCTCACAAGACTTCACTCGTCCTCTAAGGGTAACCTTAATGTAGAACAGCTCGCTCACAATTATCTGAGCATACGGAATCAGGGAGGCTGAAAAGCTAAGGAGAATAGAAGAAAAAAATAAATAACGAAAAGTCAAAAGGAGATTTGGTGTGGTTGCCAACAATAGAAGATTGTTAGCATTTATGATACCACGATTTATGGTATGACTTACCATAATAGCAGAGATTTGACTATGCATATAATAGCATATCTGATACCACGATTTATGATATGACTTACCATAATAGCAGAGATTTGACTATGCCATAAAATATGCTTTAGAATAATTTGTGATTTGATTTAGTTTCCTTTCTTGTAATATGAGCATGTGCTCATTTTATCTATAAATACTAGAGTTGTGAATGAGTAATTCATCTCATTCAAGCCTTTACACAATTCTCTACTTTTTCATCTTTTTATATTTCTACTTGGTATCAGAGCCAACACCTTTCCACACCTTTCAGCAGCCTTGCTACTTGTGCGACAGCTACCTTACGCTGTTTGTGACAATTTCTTTTTCACTCTTCTAGGGTTGGGTAAATTGGGATAGTTGGTTTCCAACACCTAGAAGGACTTGGGTAAAAAAAACAAGTCTACAAAGAGGTTCCGAACATTAAGAAGGAGGCTGTCTGGCTATATGTAAGCGGGCAGCGCTCCTTAAAAAATGTATGTATTTGGATTTTTCGGGAATGGTCTAAGGAGACATTTTTTATGGTCTGAGGAGACCCTTTGATTTATTAATAGAATTTGTGGTGTTTTTGGAGTTTTTTTTTATTGTCGTATGACAGATTATGACAGATTCAAGGTCCTCGACTGTTAATTCTCTTGGCTCACGTTCTGTGGGTGGTGGTGCCATTTTTCCCACTAACTCATCAGAAAATCCAGGACTTTAAATCATCATAGTGCAGTTGGATGGTTCCAACTATCTGATTTGGGCACAGTCTGCCAAGATGTTCATTGGTGGCAAAGGCAAGATTGGCTATATTACTGGTTCTGAGAAAGAGCAAGCTGAGTCAGAGAAGGCAAATCCACAGTGGTTTGCAGATAACGCTATGGTTATGTCTTGGCTAGTCAATTTGATGCAACCAAACATAGCTGTTGGCTATATGTTTATGAAGACTGCTAAGCAGATTGGAATTCAGCTCAACGCACTTATTCTCAGAGGCAGAATAATGCACGAATTTTCCAGCTGGGGCGAGATATCACCAGGATTTCTCAGGGTGACTTGACAGTTTCAGGTTACATCGCCAAGCTTCGTGCTATTTGGGAGGAGATGTCATATTATGATTCCTTCCACTCTTGGAAGGATCCAGATGATGCAGTTTTATATGCAGGAATTGTGGATAAGAATCGAGTGTTTCAGTTTCTTGCCGGGTTGAACGACGAGTTTGAGTATGCTCGTGTTCATTTATTGGGCTTATCTTCATTCCCTACTCTTGAGGATGCATACTCCTATGTGTTGTCAGATGAGAGCTGCCGGACTCATCCATTAGGTGTTGCTTCTATTGATCGTTCTGCTATGGCAGTTCGGGTTCCTAACCTTTCAGGAACTTAACCATCCCAGTCAGTTTAGAGCACTACCACAGGTCCTCCTCTCTGGGACGACAACGTGGACGGTGTGACCATTGCGGAAAAATTGGTCACATCAAATCTCGTTGTTATGCTCTACATGGACGTCCACCGCAACAGAAACAACAGCCTCGATCCTCTGCACATTCTGTTACACAACCAG